TCGGCACTGTGCATACAGTGCTTATTAATATACGTTGGGTAAGGGCAAACCCGTTATATATAATTAACATCTCCCCAACGCAAAAAAATATACATCTTGAAAATCTTATATGATATTTCTGTGGCACTATCGGACTATACTATTACGAGTCAAATCAACATCAAATTTAGCTGGTAATAAAAACACATAACGAAGCCTGAGACGGAGCAGCCGAATGGGTAGCGCAACACAGCTTTTGAATCACTGATCGCGATTCAGGCTTACCCGTCTGAGCCAAACAGGCCAAGCGGCTGTGGATCGTGATCAGTGATTGGGTGTTGGCTCACTGACAGCAGAACCCGCCTAATTTGTGTTCACTGGTCGAGATCCAGATCCATGTAAAACTAACAGGCCAAAACGCGGCCGTCAATACTGTGAACTCCATTTAATCCCTGAATCAGCCCACTGAAGACACCTGCCGTCATCTTTAATATTGCGTTGAAAACAAAGGTAAAAGAAAGGCTTACTCGCTATTAATTCAGTCATTCGTGGCCGGCAACAATAGTTACAATGGCAAGCAACAAGCTAACGATCTCCTTTGTATTCGGCACGGTAAGCTTTTTAATGTGGCTTAAAACATTTAGACATAATTCATCACAAATTTTAACACATTTTCTAACTTCCTTTAACATAATTCTATGCAATGCCTTTCATTAACACTAAACCGAACAAGGTGTTTTAACCCTAACAGTCACAAATCCTCCAATTTCAATATGATTTTACATACACACTAGGGGGTTAGGGTTAATGGACGAATAAGAAACTATAATTTAACGTCTGGTGCTGTTTCTGAGGCTCAATCTTGCTGGTTTTTGTTAGGCTATGTTTATTCGTGTCTCTGCCGTAGAATTGAGTATAATGTCACGTATAACGTTTATCCACCCACTCTAACAGACCTCGAGCCCTACACCGTTCCATGAAAAGTGATTAGAATTAATTGGTGATTAGAATACATTTTCAGGGAGGTATGACGATAATAATAGAGTCAGCACTTAAGTGTGACGTCACTGTGAACCAGAAAGTGCAGTGCGAACATAAATGGAGTACGCGCGCGTGTTGGTTCACGCTCTCGTTCTAATGCCTTAATTTTTTACACATTTAAGTTTGCGGCTAACGTAGTCACTTCGGTACTCTATCCGCTCCGAGCGGAACAAAAGAGGGCGTATTTTTTGGTACTCACCGTAGCATAGGGGTGCACGGAACCAATTCAAGCTCCATTGAAAATTGTGTAAAATCAACCAAGTTTGGAGTCCCATGGCAGGCAACTGAAGTCCCTGAGGCCTCTCAAACAAAAAACAATGTGTTGTTTGGTCTTTCAGATTTCATTTGATTTTCAATTTTTAGTAGGTTAACCAATGATTTTTTTAATTATCCGCCCAAAACAAACTCACCCCCCAAAAAGTGAACGTTGCCAAGTCTTCCCAGCGGCCATTTTTCAAAAGACATCCCTCACCTTCCTGGGGCTCCTCTGACTAATTTTCAATCCCATTTTTGTCTGCTTTGCCCCCAGATGGGTGCCCTTGAATCTACAGAGATAATCCTGGGTCATACTGAAACAATCCCACCATTTCTTGGCCCAAACAGACCCCTCTTTTCGAAACAATCTCTGGGGGGTACTTTTTGTGCGCCTCCGCCTGGCGGAGAATTTTCCTTGAATTGGGGCACTGCACCCATAGGCGGGCACTTACACGAAGCACACGTGACTTATTTATTCCAGCTTGTATGGTCTTTGCGTACACGCAGAACACGTGCAAGAACCCGCTTGTAACCACCTGTCTGTCTTTCGCCGATTGGGGGTGCACTTCAGCTCGGGGGCGGATAGGGTTGACATGGAGTTTTTTAAGAGCACCTCTAAGGAAAACACGTTTTCTCTGATTTTATCTGTTCAAATAAATATGGACGCATCCAAATCGAATGCAGTGTCATTTGTCTTCAGAGCTCAACTATGACAAGCTAAAAAGGTTTTTTTTTTCTGTTCATGCCAAGATGCACGTTCTGAATGTAGATTGCGTCATTTGGAGAAAACTGAGAAAACGAGGGGAACTCTCGCCCTGTGTTCGTAGTGGAAAAGCCCTTGTACATGCCAAACAGTGGCTACATGTATTATTAATTTATTGTGAGTTAATTAATTCACATGCCTTTACAGTCCATAAGTAAATGCTTGAAAAATGCTGGACGGGCGATTTGCGTACATCGTTTTGAATGTTACAGCCTAGCAACAGAGGACGGTCTAAGTTTGTACACGGAAAGGACTTGCTAACCAGTGCGACCCGACTCCAGTTAACTTAAGAAAATTAATGAGTTCTCAGCCATGCAGTTACCCCTGCATTAATCAAGCTATTAATAAGGGACTCTGCACCAAAGTCACATCCGGGCAAATGCACTTTGTTGTGATCTCGTCAGATAACAATGTTACACAGCTGTTGTCACGGCAAAGAGCACAAATCTGGATTTGACAGAGCTTGGAGCTGATATGTAAACTCAGTCTTAATCAAAATTACAAACTAACCATACGACAAACAACCGACAACTGGTTCGTGAGGGGCGATCGTTGTAAACAAGTCTTGCCGTTTATTGCAAGTCCTTAGAGGAGGACATCATGAGCGCAAACGACGACCAAGGAATTCTGCGCTCGGCCACCAACGCATCCTTAGAATTCAGCGGAGAGTGGTTGATGTGCACGAATGCCACAAACTCAAGTCCAACACCGCCTGCTATCACACTGGCACCGATATCCGTGGTCGTGATTTCTGTCATGCTCGAAGTTCTCATGATCCCTCTCATACTCCTCGGAAACGGAGCTGTTGTGCTCCTTGTTCTGAAGAACGAGGCACTCCGAACCATCACAAACGCGTTCATGGTGAGCCTGGCCATGGCAGATACCATCCAGGGGTTGACATTGGTTCTTGTTATTGTGGGAACACTGAACCCAGTGGCCTTTAACGATCAATACATCATGTGCCTGACGCTATGGTGTACCCTGCTACTTGCCTCAGGTTGCAGCTGCTTGTCACTTTTCTCCGTCACAGTGGACCGGTATGTAAAAGTCATGCATCCCCTAACTTATCAACAAATTATCAACAAAACCGTGGCTGCAACGGCCACAGCGATTGTGTGGATATACACCTTCCTTCTGGCGTTTGTTCTCCCGTTTTCAGGACTCAACCAAATCAAAGACACGCCTGACTTCTCCTGTCTGGACTTCACCAGCGTCTTTAACCCGGTTCACATTCAGATAGTTGTCGTCACAAATGGCATTCTCCCATTCATCCTGATGTGCTTGATGTATTTTAGACTTCTAATGGTGGTGTTGGAGAAACTTAAGGCAGAATGCGGAAGGAATGGCGGGACGATGATGGCGGGGCGTTGGTTGTTTATGAAACGCGAGCTTCACTCGGTGAAAACGTTCGTGATTCTGTTAGGATTCACTGGTCTGGCGTGGCTACCATTTACCACAATCGTGTTGCTCGAGGTTCACACGAGTTACCGAGCTAGTCTCACGCTCAGATGCGTTTTCAGTTGGTTAACCTTCTTGAACAGTGCAGTGAACCCAGTCGTCTACACCATACGTAGCGAACCGTTTAGAAGAGCAGCGAGCAAGACTTGCGCCTACAGACTCGTCAGACGATGCTGCAGTGTTTGCAAGAGGAAGCCTAAAATTACCCCACTGAACACGTCTAGGTTACTGATAACAGTTCAGAAAAGTGTGGCAAATGGACCACCTGTTTGACTCACCAAAGCTTAGTGTAAACCCTCAAATGGTGCCGTTGGGAGACTTTTCCAATGACTGCGTACTAAGGTGTGATACTGACGAACTAGAACACCTGAAAGGTAAACCCTATTTAAACTAATTTGTATACCAAACAGGCACCCAACAACAGACACCCTACAACAGGCACCCAACAACAGATACCCTACAACAGATACCCTACAACAGGCATCCAACAACAGACACCCTACAACAGGCACCCAACTGTATCTAAATTTCCTACAAGAACAATGCCATCTCCTTCAAATTACGGGCCCAGACATTAGCAATTCCTATCTTCCGAAAGCATCATTCGTCACGATAAAAATGTCACTCTGCGCATGTCTAGTTACTGCAAATCACATCGAGACTCTTTGAGTGTTAAGGACACAAGCATTATGCTTTTTGATTTGCCGCTGGACAGCTACGTTTTCTGCTCCTTTAAGACAAATGAAGAGTGCTCTTTGATGTACCAACAGGATAGCACGCTACTTACATAATTTTGACACACTTGTATTCCAAGTGATGAAAAGACAACAGTAAGGTAATTACATGTTTTTAACTTTCCACTAAATGGTAGTTTAACTGGATAGGAAAGTCATACTTATTCTCGTTTCCAATTATCAATCCAATATGAAAACAGGGGCAGATTTAAGTTTTTTGCTGGGGTAGGTGGTAAGTTTTTTGTTTGTAAACGGGGAGGGTAAAAGCCATTCAGTATCTCTTGCTCATTTACCGTAAAAGTAAGATAAGTCCTATACATGGTTTGGTCTTCCAACCTTTAGACCAAGGTCCCTGAAAAGCCAATGGGGATGTGGATTGACCCTGACCCTGCTTCATCTATGCCTAGATGAGTTCAAACTAATTAAGAGAGTCCACAAAAATTAATATAAAGCCCATGATGGCCATGAAGCCCATGATGATATAATATAACTTTTCACAGCTTTAATTCGATATGACAGTTTCACGAGATTCTGACCGAAAAGACCAAACTTTACATTCTGAAAAAAAAGTTATCAAAATATTTCGGAATATGTTTCCGGAAATAAATCTACAGGCTGATTGACGTGCAAAGGGCACTCTTCCTAGAACCGAAACGATCAAACGTGATTACAGAAAGGATGCACCTTGTCCAAAAACATAAAGCCACATTGTGCAGAGCAAAACAGGATGTGGCAACGCGAACCGGACCAATTTCTCTTTATGGGTTTGTGGCATGGGCTCTCGCAAATAATTTCTCTTTTCAATTTTTCACAAGGCGAATCGCATGTAACTAGATTATAATCCTTAAATAATTATTAAGTTATTCGTTATATGAATGTAAAGAGAAAAAAGGCTCTATCCATTATCTTCTCCATCATCATTCTATGCATGCATGTTCAACAGGTGATTTCGATAAATAATAATGGCTAATATTTCATGCTCAAGAGTCGTACGTAGATTACACAACATAACGTTCTACTCACGAACGAATATTTCCACAAGTACAAAACGTGTCTATGTCGTAGGCGCTAACGTTTGCCAGTTGTACCTTCAATCATATTTAGCACACAAGTATTACAAAATAGCACCAATATCCAACTTCAACTTATAAAAACTTAAGGTTTTAACACTACACTGGTAACATCATGCTTTCACAAACTGATTACTTGAATTAATACAGACATATGCGCGGAGATAACACACATTGTTAATTCCAACAAACTATTTTGGCAAAACGATGCCTTTTAAGTGGGTATTTTATAATGCAGAGTTTTTATTCAATGAAGGTGGTGATCAACTCCTGTCCCCCAAACCTATATCAAATTTACCGTTTGTTGGAGTTCCAGTAGAAAGTAGAAAATATACATATAGTAGTTAGTACGCATTCAATCTACTTGTTCTCTAGATATTGTTGTTGTTTTTGAGCCAGTCGTTTTTAATGAACATTCTCTTAACCTGGAAAAACCGGACAGAATTATGGTCAATTCTACCCTAAGAAAATCGTGTTAATGCAAAGACCTCACTCTGTCACTGTGTCATCTTCATTTAAGGCCAAATGACTTCATGCAGTGTGTGCAGTAAAATGACTTAAGGATATAGTTGAGAATTGACTGGGATTTGTTTTTATTTACTGATGGTTAAAGTTTTCAATATATAAAAGGGAGATGAAAGAAATTATTCAGGAAAACTGGGAGGAATTATTTCTCTGAAATTTTAAACCCCTGTAACGGTCTCATTTATCCGCCGTGCTCGGATATCCAGATAGTAACCGAACTCCGCCGAGCGACTCGAACTGCGACAGAACATAATCGCCGAATTCCCATTGAAGGTGTACCATTGAAAGTGTCCTGATTTCATACATTTGGACCGTCACGCACGTATTACGTGTATACGTTCGTGGGACTGAATACAAGTAAGCAAGTAAGCATGGCACATGTCCGTATGCGTGCCTGGAAGTATACTGGTGAGATTGTACTGTCCGACTTCATGTCCCATCATACTTACGGTATTTGTCGAGAAAAAAGAGCACCCGCTCTTCGTTGTGGCCATTATGCAAAGTAATTATTTCGGTAACGATATTTGTGTATACTTTTCCTGGAAAAAGGTGCGACCCTAATGTGTAGAAATTGTGGATCAACAAAGACTTCGCGGAACGTGCCAGACTCAACCGCTAACCAGCATACGTACGTCCGTACATGTGCGCGACTGGATAGCAGGCCTGATAAATGAACACATAGCAAACTACTCATCTATCCGGTGCGTTCTTCCGGAAATCCGAGCACGGCAGATAAATGAGATCGCGATACCGGCATTTACTGAAAATTAAGTTATCAGGAGCCTTATTAATTTGAGCATCGTAATTTTTTAAATTTTTCTTTTCGATTCCGCATAAATGCTGAGATCTGGAGTGGTGAAATAAAGTTTCGGCTAAAGATTGACTTGTCATTTTAACTTGTCTGAACCTAAACTTAATTTAACTTTAATTTTTAGATTGATTTGTCTTCACCCTCCTGAAGACGAACAGAGCATACTGTTCGGAACGTCAAATGTCCACCATCGGTTCTTCTCAGAACCACACTCATAAAAGAGATTCTTCCTTGTACATGGTGCAACCGCAAGCCTACCTAACTCATTTTTAAAGGCATTCAAACTATAATTTGGGTATCAGTGGCCTTTCATCAGTGGCGTTGAGGCATACGCGACTCGAGAGATGCAAAAAAAGATGTAAGTGGAAAGCTGATGGAACAAAACTCACAGTGTTCATATCTTCAATACAATTAAAGACATCACTTTTCTGATTGCTTGGTTTTACATTACATTTCTTATACATACTGTATCTAAGTCATTTTGGCATGCTACAAAGACGTTATTGGTGCCATGTTGAATTTACTTCGGCTACTTTCATCTGATTATTTTTTAAGAATGCAAGAGCACAGGGTGCTGACGTTTATTAGCATTTTTCTTGTGTTTACAAATTGAAGTTAAACAGCATCTTGCTGGATTATTTTGGCTCATACATGATTGAGAAACATCAGCGCTTTGTTACCAGCTCCAATGCTTACATAGATATGGATCATTACATCATGAAGCGTTTGCCAAATTAAACATCTCGGTGGGATGAAGGTTGTAATGGAGTGTGACCCATCGTGCAAGATCGTTGTAAACCTGGGACTGAATCCAGAGAAAAATACAGGCTAATTATAGATCACTGATTATCAAAACTCATCTTTACAGCATGGTGTGTCAGCAACTGTAAACCTCTGCAATCATGAAAATGGACTACGCGAATGATGTTAGAATTGAAATGTCATTTGAAACCGATTCATAAGAGATAAGTCAATGTAGGTGAATTGTACATGTACCTCGTCAGGTTGATAAGATCGAGCATGTCATAACCCCACAGAAAAAAATATGACAGATTATAAACAATCAAGGATTGGACATAAACTGTATGATTGCCTTTGTTAATGATCAGATATGGGCATAGTATCTTCCTTATATGACATGTTATTGTGGAAGGCAAGTCTGAACCTGCTTATCTTTGAATCTCTGATTTGTCTCATCAGAGAAGTACTATTTGCTCGGTCCAATAAATATGTGGAATAATTAAAAACCTAACTCTGTAGCGTTAAAAGGCAGTCCTCTTCCACTCAAATTATTTACCATTGTCAATGAACAGAAGCAAATTTGTCTAGTGACCTCCCTGAAAATTTCTCCCTATGCTGGTGATTGGTTTGGAGATTATATCACTGCTGCTTAATACTAACTGAAGTCATTCACTTTTCACTAAGATCGCGAGCCTGTATCAGGTTAGAGTTGGCTGCTCCTTCACTCAATTAGTTACTAATTCAAACTAAGTCAGTGCGTTTTAACAGCTATATGAAAACAATGACCACCAGTATTCGTTAAGTGCAAACTGTTCTCATGCTGGCATGTTAATTCTGTGTAAAAAATCCTTGCACTTAAGGCTGGCAGAAAATAGAGATGACATCTCTGTTAAAAATGCTTGTAATAACCATAAAGGAATCACGCATAAAAAAGTAAAGACTGTTTACTGTAAAAAAAATAAAACTGGTAATATGTGTATAAAAATACCCTTTTCTTTCATGACACACAGGTTATGAAAGTAAAAAAAGAGAAAGAGCCCTTTTCCTTTTCTGGGGTTCAGAGAAGATGACTGACAAAAGGTCAGTAAGATAACAATGGCTAAACTCACATTATTGCATCAAAACTTTTATGTTTTACCCACTGAAATTCTGTTCCTAAGCTGAATGTCCAAGCACAAATGCATTAGTGTTTTAACAGGAGCTTAGAACTGGTTTGATGAGATAAACAAAAGAAACAAAATTAATCACGGCCGTGGTAAATTCTGCCTTTAGTGCAAAGTTCAAAGAGGAAAGATCAAAACAAACAAGGAAGGTCATAGGCAAACATGAACCTGAGGAAGAATTAGTGGGATAACACTCATGGCTAGCTCCCACAAAAAACGAGACCTAAGGCCATTTTATTCCAGTATTTCTGTGTATGTTTATATTAGACAGAGCAAACTGGACCCTTTGTTTTACGTATTGTCCAGTCTGGGATCCAGAAGATGAAGGACATATTGTGGGGTCAAAAATGTTGTGAGTTTCTATTGATTTTATATTGTGCAAAAATTCTTTACAAGGCCTTTCACTGAAAAGAAGTGCTGGCCACTTGGGACACATTTTCCCATTTACCCTTTCATTATTGCTAGCACACACTAGTGAGACTTATGCAGTTAGAGGGATAAATAGCAACATTAAGAGCCTGATTTCCAATCAAAATGTCTAGCTCAAATTCAAAGCCAAATGAGACAATGTTACCAACCTTTCCAGAATGCTTCTTCTGGAAAATGGAATGCCCTGGGGCAAGATCAAACAGAATTCAGAGCAAGTCAAATGTTGGAATGACCACTCTGATTAGTGCACTAATGCCTAATATGCATTGAAACCCCTGCTGTATACATGTGTGAGGTTTCCTATGGGAACAGTTTCCATTACCAATCAGGAGACAGCACATCCTTGTCCAGCATTGAAAGTCCTCTCAGCTTCTGAAAACTACAGCGACTAACTTTGAGATACTAAGACAAAAATATCCACTGTGCTGGTACTTCACACAAAAACTATCAACTTTCAATTCCTGATAAAATATACAGCACAAGTTCTACAATTTAAAAATGAAGGCAGTGTGAGATCAAAGCACCATTTTATTACAATCTTTAACAGAAAACTTATCAACTGAAAAAACTTGATAATAAACCCCTAATAATACTGTTCTCTAAAGAAAGCCCCGATACAATACTGACCGGCCAGCTAATTACACCTAGTTGTTACCGGGAGACTCTACAATGGTGGCATTGACCGTGTAATCCTCTGGGCAGTCCCTAGGCAGAACGCATTCCCCATCATGCATGACCATGTTGGCTGCACAGTTACAGCCTGGAACACAGGGTCGGATACAATGCTCCTCCAACACTCCCATGGGGATGTCCTTGTTGGCACAGGTCCGTGGGCAGGCTGGGCCACACTCGTCAAACATGAAGCCGCGATTCTCTGGGCAGTTAATGGCTGTGAACAGAGCAATAAATACGCTAACTATCTGGAAGACAATTTTGACATTGATTACAAAATGTTTTCATAAATCAATAAAAAGGTAACACTCTGTCTACAGAAACAAATCTTAATAGAAATTTGGGCAGTGAAATTGTAGAACAAAGGGATTTTCTAAGGGATTGTTTCAATGAGAGTGGACAGAATGTCCATTTGGAAACCTGCACAATTTTTAAAGACATCTGAGCTGACACAGCATATTCTGACCATGCAACAGTCTTGTTGGGTATGACTTCACAGACTGGTTACAGTCTTTGACGCAAATACAGCATCATAAGGGAGAAGCAGCAGAGAGCTTGATACTTGAAATTCAGAAGTGCCCTCAATTAAAATGATGCTGAAAGCAGCTGTCAAATCCAAGACAATGGGAATCTCTTGGAGTGAGAGTGGATCAGACTTTGTTGTATTGGTTATTGTTCCTACTGGGTGCTAGTGTGAAATAGTGGAAAGTCATTAACCCCTTCGCGCCGGGAAGCAGCTATAGCCGCCGTAAAAATTGAGATCCTCAGCCCGCTTTTCAGCTATTATTCTTGGCCCACACTTGAGCGAACACGGTGAAAGAAGGCAGACCCTGGCTCTTGTATATATGGTAATTGGTCTTTGTGCATAGCCCAGAAATGAAAAGACAGATTTTGCATCATAATCACCAGCTTCACAATAGTCCCCACTTTGAAAAGAGGCAACGGGAATGTGGAAGGGTGAGTAGAGCCACATGCCACCGAACAATCGGCCTTTTCACCGTGTAATTCAAAGCGTGCACAGCACGCAGGGCCACAAACTGAGAATTTGCGGTTTGGCAGGTGGCCTTCGTGGCCAAGCAAGGCTGGAATTCTTGGAGTTGGCTTTCAGGAAGAAATTCCCATCGTCAAGGGGTTAACTGAGTTTTGTCCTTTTGTTAAAATGTATACCACTGCACTGCTTTCTGTTACTTTCTTTTACTGCTCCCTTGTGTGAATAGAGCTTAAGAGGAGTAAAGGACTGAATATAATTGGGCACAGGGTGGAGGAAAATGGAACCACTACCTAAACTGAATCATAACCACTTCCTGAGAAATACAGACATACCATCATTGTCCACAGAAGAAATGAAAGGGTTAGACATTTGGTACAGCATAGCCAGTGTAATGCATCTGCCATTGTCAAGAAACTTCTAAAAGTGCAAGGCAAGTTTGGATTTATATACAACTTCTCATTTTCATTTTTTTCATTGACAAATAAAATAAACTTTGTTTACAAACTATTTCCAAACTGAAAATTTAATTCAATTATTTCCTTAGTTTTACATGATGATGACACAATTTGCTTGCACTATCATCAACAGTACAGTAGATTCCCGTTATAGCGCTCCCTGATGAAACGCTCTTACCGATATAACACTCTATTTTCATTTCCCCAACTGCACACCCATTCACTGTGTACACTTTAATGTGGATATAGCACTTTTCGGGATAAAACCCCCCCCCATAAAACATGTGAAATGAATCTGGTTACAGCGCTCTTTACCTTGGAAAGGCAGATTCTCTAAAAATAAAAGCATAGGAAACCGCATGGCAAGTCCGCCACGATCGGCCATCCTGTGGGACACCAGTAGCATAGCAAATCACACAGGGTGCAGACACTGTCCATGCAGCAGTGAGCCATACCCACATAGTGCGGTTATTACAACCAAACTTAATCTGCTTTGCTGTGGCTACATTGTAGTGATTATTTTCCCACCTTTATTTATTCTCATGGTTTAGTTTGGCACACAAATAATCAACAGTGAGATACTACATGTAGTATTTTGTTACCTAAAAGTTTCTTTCTACCGATAAACTCAGCCGCTTAAACTGTACATGTATCTTCGTGTAGCAAATCACATTTTTTCTTTTCTTGTATTCGGCATGACATGTCGGGTCTGTTTTCACTTGGGTTTTTCTGATGATATATCACTTTCTATGGTCGTATGGTTATTGGAAAAAGTCAGCGATTGGACGTCCATAAATGGGTATGCAGTTCAGGATGTCGCGGTGCGTGTAGATGCAGTGTATGTGCTCCACTGCGATGCAGCATGCACAACGTCCCGTGGCGGTTTTGGAAGAGATTTGGTGGTGTTTTTTCTTTTTATTGGTGTCATGAAAATATTGAGATAACCAGATACAAGGCATATACTCCGAAAATGACGGTACATACGTCTGCCAATACATGTAAGTAAAATTCACATATATGTGGATACATGTATCTATACATGCACATAGAAGTACTTGTGCACATGTGCATTGCACATGTTGCATGTCCATCCAGTCAGTTATAGCACTGTGCGGTCATAACGCTCCATTCTGTTAGGTCCCCTCAAGAGTGCTATACTGGGAATCTACTGTAATGACTTGCCCAATGCACTGACATGACTGCTGTTATTAAAACAAAACAGGGAAATAGTCTGTTCAACACTGCCTACAGCCTCCCTTTACTAATTCAATTAAACCAGGCCAGGGTAAGCTCAAGATAATGCCATCCGGTGGAGTTCATGCTGTTCCCTCAGCAACCCAAATCATGAGAAAAATGATAGTGTACTATTAGATTATGGTTGGCATGTTGTCATGGCAACTGGTGCAACTACACTCTTAAAGAAATGATTAATCTGCAACACACTGTGTGAAAACATTGCCAAGCAGGGCAATTAATGGAACTTGCCAATTTCCTTTTTCACTTTGTTTAGATAAAACGTTGTCCAATGGAAAGTAAGTGTGTCACTGCCCATTTAGTTATAAACGAGGTTATCATATTCCTTCAGGCTATTGCATTTTCCCCATTTCTACTTAGCTTGTTAGTAACTAACCTCACTAAATTGCACGAAGATAATATGTATGCAATGATATTGGTATAAAGGGTTTACCAATACTATCATTGACATTACACTATCAAATACAACCCTAACATAGCAATGCCAATGACTTTATATATATCATTAAAAATTTGTGAACAAATCTAAGCAGCAAAAAGAAGCAGAAAAGTGGCTTTTCCATGTGGAGTTCTCAGCATACCACAATGTAATTGAACTTGATGGATTAAATTTTCAGTGAGCATATTGCTGTATCTGCTGATGTGGCTGAGTGATTGCTGGCAGTCAAACATTGATTCTACATTACCACAAAGTGCATCACTCCTCCAGCTCAGTGTAAGTCCAGCCTGACGACACTCAGCTGCGTAGGCCGCCAAGGCATCACACAGGCATGCATCATTAGAACCACAGGCGCACATGTCGTAGACGCAGGAGGCAAAATACGGCTCAGGAGAGACCAGGTCATGGCAAGGGGAGAACCGCTGGGTCTTGAGGACTGAACACTTGGCGTTGGCCAGCTTGCGGGCAAGGTAGCTGGCCTCATCGCAGGGTTGAACGTCTTTGGCTTCACATCCATCACCGTTGAAACCTTCCACCTAGAAGACAAACCAAAAGTGTGGAGATAAGAGCTTTGATCAAGTTTGAAACTTTTAGACCAGTCACAAAATTCCTACAATGAATGGAAAACAAACTGGTTAAACTGAATTTACACACAAAAATACTAAAATTATTCACAGGTAAAAATACTTGTGAAATCTTTTGGTACTGTGTTGTAGGAGTCATCTCAAATCCGGGACAAGTTGCAGTAATTGTGGGGAGAGTGAATACTTCCCCGCAAGAAGCAGTGCATTTATTGAGGGGAAGTTGTGGAGGAATTTTGCATTAGTAGGTCATTTACTGTGAAGGACTGTTTACATTACCAGTGGGCTTATAAGTGGTCAGTATTTTAAGTGGTTTGTGGTTTCCAGAGACTGGCCATGGATTACTCAACACACTATGACTTTCTCTGTGTTCATATGTTCAGAGTTGAAAACTAAATCAGATAGTTGTTTGGAAAAAATGCAGACTTTGTCAGTCCCTCTGCTTATATACGAGTATGCTTTGCTTCATTCACTTAATAAATGTACAAGGTGTGTTACCTCTGCCCATTGTTATACCTCCATATCAAAGTCAGTTCTAAATTCAAAACTGGCAGTATTCACTTTGATATTTTTGAAAGGTTCCCTTGCCAGAATTGTCTGATCATGATTGTCATAACATATTTTTAGAATTTCACATCAAAATATAACAACATGCAAAGTAACAATATGCTTAACTTTCTGTATATCATGTCACAATATTTTTTGGTTAATAAAAAAGATATTACAGGATCTTTTCTTGTTAATGTCCTTTTGTGCCGTAGTATTACCAGATTCAGTACAAATAAAGTTGTATTTGCCTGAAGTAAGACCATCCCCAGCAGGAGAAAAAAAACCTGAAGAAGCTTTGTATTTTATGAAAGGGTCGACGTATATTTATTCCAAATGATACAGTTAGAGAAGTTTCCAAAAGCTTTGTGTAAGGAGTGCAGTCCTTTGCCAGTGGCTCTTCTGTCATCAAAAACACAGGTGTCCTTGAGTGGCCTGCCTGGCCAAAACTGCAGAGGGGGGGGAGAGTGTGCATACAAATACTGATAACTTAATTCCTAGAAGATTGTGGGGAAGTTTCCAGTAGCCTTCAACATTCCACCACAACACTCTTCCACATTTTATCCTCAACATTTCCCGGACGAGATTTGAGATTTTTTTAAGTCCTAAAAAAGTATATCATGTGACACATTCAAACATTAATGCTAGCCTACTTATCACTGCAGATTTCAGGCAGAGATGAATTTGGGCAGTGGCCAAACCCCCCAAAACCATTATTTGGGGTTTGAAAAGCACTAAAGGGCTAACTCTGGCTATTTCTTTGTTACAATACCTTCCAACTATTGCCAAAGCCTGCTTCTGATGAGGCCATCTGACCATTTCTCATTTTCAGATCATCCTGAGGGTAGGTATTGAAGTTACCACACAATCCACAAGTCTCCCTGGCATAGGACCCGGGCACACTGACCTCAACATAGCTACTTCCATCCCACAACACCTATGAAGATTGAAATAAAGAAAAATAAATGAATGGAAGGGCAAAAGGCGGCATGCGCAGCTTCAGAGCCTTGTAGGCTAAATACACAATAAAGACACCATGACTTTTTGCAGACATACAATGTCAGTCAGAAGGAAGCAAAAATCCAAGATCAGTCTCAGTTTGTACATCTTTTTTTCAGTTTTTAAGATACTAATGGAATAAAATTGACAGAAATAACTGACATTAGGAAATGTTGCAGGACTGTTGAAGGAGCACAAAAAAGGAACTTACTATGACATTGATCAATGTCCAAAAAAATTACAACCAGAATACCAGAATTAATATCGGAGCTTATCCATTAGATGAAAGACAAAAAGAAGTACATCATTTTTGACATTGTCTTAACCAATTGCAATGTAATCATCAGTTTGAATTTGAATTAAAGTCTTGAAAATTGGAAAGGTCTTGGCAAAAAGAACCAAGACAAACCTGTAGGCCAACATTGGTATTGACGTAGTAGGAAGATCCTCGCTGTTCAACAAACAGGTAAGGCTCCTGCAGGAATGGTGGCTTCACAGCTATACCATTCACCTAACAAATAAAAAAGGGCTACTTGATTTGAGTGTTTAGTGTCATTCTAACAGTTCAAGTCGGGTCAATTTGTAACTTCTCTCTATCCTTTCATCCTTAACAGCATCAGATGCATCTTCACTTATGCAAAACACATTACTCAAAAGGTTAACAACTGTCCTTGATACTGAGGCTGAAACAAAATTCCAATAACTACAAAGTCCTTCTTGAAACAGCCACATTCAAAGCATGGCAGATATGCTTAGTCAAAATTTGACTGTCCAAAACCAAATGGAGAGCAAACAGGAAGAAAAAAAAAAGAATTAGATAATTTACCAACAAACCAATAAGACAGGTCTTCATGCACGATAAAGTTGTTCCTTGGAATTACCATCAAAAGGACTAATTCAAAATCACTTCTACATCAGGAATCTCAAGCTACCTTACCTTGACCATTCCATTCTGGCCGAGGTCCACTTGCTCCCCTTGTATAATGATGGTCACTTCCTGCGTCCAGGACACTCGACCGGCTGCATTGCGGTCATCATTCTTAACTTCTACGCTGCAAATTAGGAAACCATCAAGATGTAATAACCACTTCAAAATCATTTTGAAAATTGATCTAAAGACATACTCGTTTAAAGCTGGCTTTCTTTTACTTATCTCCCTTTGAAACTACAACAGGCAAAACTTTAAGACTACACACAAAAAAATTCCCACTTCTAAGAACATGCATGTCTCTATACATTCCCTTTTAGTATTATGAGCTCTGTTGGCTTTCTTTTCTGGCTGATATCAGCAATGCACTGACACCATATTCATTGTGTTTGCAGTAGTTATAACTTTGGTTGTTGTCAACCACCTTTAAAAATAGAACCAATCGTACAATTTGAATATTTTAAATTGAACAAATGTCATGAAAAGTACGTGTGAAATACTGTAGCATTTGTGTTACAGACACTGGATTTGTGGTCTGAGGGAAAAGCTGCAGGTTGTGGGTTCGAATCCAGCCTGGGGTCATTGTGCATGTGCCCTTGGGCAAGGCACTTTGTCACTCAATGCTTCTCCCTGAAAGGTATTTGGAGTGCTTCATTGGCTCAATAAGTAAATTAATACTAATGTTGCACCTTGAGCACCAGTCCAAATGGCTCTGTACACTGTATAAAACACCCCATTATCTTTCTACAGACTTACATAAAGTCTTGATTTTTACAATCCATGGTCATGATGTACTTGCAGGTTCCCTGAAAATGGATGAGTCTGCCATCAAATGTACGATAGTGTGGATCACCAAATGCTATGCAAGTTGCAGGGCCTGTAGGTGAGGAATATCGATTGCTGTTAGACCAGGATTTCAAACAAATAGTCTCAGTCATCATAAAAAATAAAGAAAAATATAATTTTCTTTGTAATTTTTTGTCACAATTCGCTTAATTAGCAACAAAGGCTCCCTAAAAATACCCGAGGACACACACACCTTTGAACAACTTTCTACTATTAAAAATGGGTCAGTATACACAAGGTTATTACAGCACATTGCCTTAACCTACACAAACACATTACTTTAGCATGCCATTCAGTGACTTTAATCTTCCCCTTTTCTAACAAGACTCAAAGACTGCACTTTGTGGCAGTTTTCAAGAGAAGCATCCCAGGATCCAAGTGGCTTATGTAGACTTTCAGGAAAAGACTGGCTCAGTTTTGCACAGATTTGTGCAGTCATTGCATTTTTCATTCCAAGAATTGTTGATGATACTCACGGGACAGACACTTTGGACAGCAATGACCTGGCTCAAGGGCTGGAACTTCATCCTGATCAGAAAGAAATGATGACAATGGTAAAATGATCTCATACAGTGCACTTATCCGGGAAACCTGTTTATGCGCAAACATTATTACTATCCCTAATCACTGAGTCCAGAAATGTTCCTAAAGCCATCTCAGCTCCCAAGGGAGTACACAGCTCAATGCTGCCATTTCAGGTGCCAATGCCTGAACACAATGATCATCTTTGCCCACACAGATATGGTGAGGTACCCACTAATACTCTCGGGTGAAGAGAGGCAAGTGTGGTCAAAGTAGCATGCCAAAGGTTACAAAATTTGCCCAGCTGCTGGTTTGAAGCTCTTGACTCTGTGATCCAGCGTTACAAATTCTGTCTAGGCTTAGCATTCCCACCAAACTAAGTTTCATTGAACTCACATGAACACCAACTTACAGCTTGGCAAGTGAGTGGTGGGCATCTTGAAGTCTGGCATTGTACTTGACCAGCTAGGCACACGCATGATGTGCACTCATCCCTCTGCCACTGTTCGTTGTCTTGATACTGCCGGCCAGAGTAGAAACAAGGCTGCTGGGTTTCTGGGTCATTGATGAGAAGAAGCCTATGTTAAAGACTCACGCGCTAGCAGGAATACAATAAATGTGAAGTCAGGCCTAGCAATAATAACTCAAGGTGCTGCTTCTTGGAACAGTTTGCTTACATAGTTCCTCATGACAATACATTTTTATGAGGAAACACAGATAAGAAGCACACCAATATCATAATAGTTGCATGTACATGAAAGAAATTACATTATACGTAATGTTTGAAGACAGCTACTGAACTCAATGAAATTTTAGACAACAATGGATCAGATGTAATGCAATATCTATAACAAATACAAGAAAACAAAATGCATGGGCACCAGTCAGTCAATATAGCTCTTGAAGGGGCTCAACTCCAACTTGGAACCGGTTTGTCAACTTCCCAAACCATGCAGAGCCAATACGAACTAATCTCTTTGAACCATGTGATCTTTGCATGCTGTCTACCAGCAGTTTTGACAAGTTCTTACTTGTGTTGAGCAAGCTGATGTAACAAATTGGTTCCTGGTAATTTGTGCAACTGACCTCGGCATGAATAGCAACACTGATCTGATGGCTTATATAACTCTTGACCTTCCTGACATACGATGGATTCACATCTCTCTAACTCGCAATCAACAGCTCCTCCCTGAAGGCAAAAATCACAATAATTCACTTCACTGTTTCACCTCTTTATACATGAGGGAATTTGGGATTCTACATATACAAAAGAACTGTTGCTAAACACAAAATTCGTCATCGATACAACTGTTTCCTCTGTGCTCTGTGGAAGATTTAGATTGTCAATTACATGAAATAATTCAGATCAACATTAGAATAAGCAGCCTCTGGGCAAGACTGCAATGAAGATTTGCCTCATATTTTAAAACAAAAACTGACAAAAGAGATGGGAGACTTACACTGCAGGTGCAAGTGATACACATGTTGTCATCTTGGTTCCAGGTCTGACCATCAAAGTAGACCTCGCCAGTTTCGAGATGACAGCCTATAAGATAATAAAATATGAGAGCAAAACATTCAACCTCAATAATCTATCAATTCAGGAAAACTTGAAAGATTTCTATGCTGTTGCAAAAGCAGATGCGCACAGCATGAAAGTGCAGTTTGTAGCTTCCAAAAAGCATGAAATTAAAGTAGCTGACATGTTAGTCGCAATTTTGATTTTTTAAAACTAAACTTAGGGGCGATGGTATCATAAAATTAGGAGCAATGCCTAATATACTGCGCCACCAAGAAGGTACCATAATGTACTGTGACATTCCTTTTGCATAAGGCTTCGTTGGTTTCAATATTTTAGGATGTGAACTTTCAGTTGGAATTTCTTAAGTATGAAACATGATAACTTACAAAGTGCCAAAAATGCACTTGTATTTGTAAAACTTAACACAAACAATCAAAATGAAGATCAAAGCAAATGCTTGGGGCATACTTTCTTGTACATTGCTTCTATTGAAACCATACATCAGTTCTTTCAGTATACATGCTCCTGAAAGAACAGAACTGAATATTTTTGCAGATTCTTCCTCTGCACTGATACTCCAATGACGACATACTGAAAGGTAATTTTCAGTTATGAGTTAAGACTGACTCAAAAATAGCTTTAATTGGACTTACGCTGACAGCGAGGGCAGCACTGGCCTGGAGTGGTCTCTTGCTCAGACCGTGGGCACATCAACATTGGACACATGTCAGAAACACACTCCCATTGTGAAATATTCTACAAACGTGCATGAAAAAAATATTTCAATTTCAAGGTTTCCACACCAATCCAGAAATATGCAACTCCTTGTGCTGCATGGTTTGACTTTGCACATGGACTCTACACAGCCTAAATGAATCAATCCCTGTCATCTGATGGGTGGGTTATAAATCATGTGCCATTGACTTACAAGTTCTATTTCAACTTAGAAATTCCTGAACTCATATAGTTGATGCAGGGATTACTGAGGCATTGTAGAACACAAATAATAAACATTTCCCATTCATGCGGTCCACAGACTAACTTAATTTGGTGACAAGATGTTCTGCCCAACTTGGCTTTGCCTTGTGGAATGGAACATTGCATCTGTAAGTATAGGGCCTTCTAAAAACACAGTGAGTAAAGATGAATGCTCTAACTCAAAACCTCCGAAGTTCAAACACAATTACATGCACATTCTTCATAGAAAAAATCTCTGTGCATATAAAGCATGGTCAAATATGATCAAATTGAGACAACTGGGTTTTCTTTGAACGAGTGGGACTTCAAACAGTACGAGTCCCTCAATATCTGTCAGCTGACACATTATTAGAATAAAAGATAAATGAACAATGACTCAAGTTCAATGAACAACAATGAATAACCTCTAAAACTAGGATTTTGTGAGGACAACATACCTTGCATTCACAGGTCAGACAGGGGTCACCATAGGGGCGCATGATGGTGCCAACATTATCCAAAGTACAGCTGGAGGTGAGTGCTGTTGGTAAATATTATAAGAAACCATTCATGATGATAAAGGTGAAATTCATAGCATTAAGGCTGACAAACCACATTACATTCCTGAAATATGACAAAATATTTGTTCCTGAGACTACTGTGTAGACAACTTCTCTGTTTTTAAAAACAATTTCACCTTAACCATATCTTGTTGACCATTCTCACTGACTTGCTGAGAGGGCCTTGGCCTGAGTTCAATTTGAATTCTTACTTGGCAATAAATTTCACAACATTTTTACACACTCCCAGAATCACCATAATAACTTTAGCGTTTGGGAAATGAGTCCAGTGTGAGCCGGGAACTGGTCTCTAACATGGCAGACTATGAATCATGAATCTTGTGGTTATGAATTCAACCTTGCCACTGGCAGGTTACAAGCTATGACCAAATCATTCATCGAACAAGCTTAGTCAGGGGATACCATTCATGTTTGGTTCATTTGAATGCTCAGTTTATTCTGTGAATGCAATAGATTCAATCTGCTTTGACAGATAGCCAGGGACTGATGGTTTGCAATGTGCAATTGTACAAAAGTGAATCATCATGATTCATTTGGCAGTAATTAATCAAAACACTAAAACCTCATTCTGGTTGGGGGAATTGAAATACAGGGGTGCTTGAGGGAGCAGTTTCTTCCATGGCCTAAGTAATGGACTTTAGAGATGAATTTTCAATAGAAACATGATTTCCTTGCCATTTTCCCCGCCCAAAAAGAAAGAAATGTACTTTACATATGATAAGCAACTTTCTTGACTGGATAGTAACAAAGTAACAAGCTTAAGTTGGGCTGCACATCTGTCTGTCTGTCTGTCTATGTGTTTACCTCCTACACATGTTGGACAGCATTCTCCAGGTTGTGCAGGTTGCACCATAGTCGGAGGGCAATCTAGCAGAGCTTGACAGGTCTCACGCAGACACACTAGACTTCCACGCTTGGGAGAAACAGACAAGGCTATCAGTTAATATACACCTACCAGATGATGCTATGGACATTCCTCCACACCTGATTGAATTCGGCACAAAATCTGCAGAGTGGGATGTTATCAACTGACATCTAAAGTCTACTGTCACAACATTAACAAAGGGTTGAAGAGAGGGCTTGCAGTAACACCATGTGAACAGATCTCTTAGGAGAGGAGGAGGACAAGAGCTCAATGGTCGGACCGTCGAGTAGACACTCAATGGTTCTTATCAGAATCATACCTCTCCCTAAAGAGATCTATCCATATGGTGTTGCCGCAAGCCCTCTCTTTCGTCTATCTCCACCCTGAAAAGCTTCAAGTCTTATCTATTAAAAAAGGGTACACCATGACTTGAAGGTGATTTAGAGCTTCAAATGTGACTGCAGAAACCAGATCTTGAGATAGCATTTTCCTCATTCTACTTTTCTTTTAGACAAGATTCTGATCACTGTTAGCATTCCTGCATCAATCTGATTTAAGTGAAACATACTGGTCAGTTTCAAAGGCTAACCATCAAGACAACAGCTGTAGCAGAATTGGAATGAAGTCACTGCAAATCCGTGACACACAGCAAGATATCACTGGCGGAAGGCTGAATAGGCACAAAAAGCAGAGCTGCCAACCTCACTGTGCCAACTTCTTCATCTCTTCAGGTATTATTCATTAAACTGCCCAATATTTGAAGAGTTTGTTACCAAAATGCGATATGTGCCATTTTGGTCCTTTGCTTACCCTCTCTCATTTGCTTGCAGTTAGTTGCTATAGCATTAAGACAGCTTAACACATATTTAATGAGTCAACATTGTTAAAAAAGACTTCGAGGACACGTGGTTCACTGCTACAGATCTTCAACATTTCATAATTGTGGAATAATGGCAAGTTTTCCAAATGGATATATCTCATTTTGGAAATAAACCCTTCATTTAAACTATTAACCTTGAACTTACCTCACAAAAGCAAAGCTCGCAAGGATCATTATAGGGTCGGAATCGCTGGCCATCTTCATAGTTTACACCATTGTACATACAACCTGACAAAAAAAATGACTGACAAATTTAATTCAAATGAATCACACACTACAGTGGCATACTAGGTATCACTTTCATACGGTTGAATATATTCAAAATTCTCCAGTCCTGTGGTCCGAGTATACAAGGACAAAAACTTTGTAAATCCCCACCGAACCCCTGGACAAAAATATGATTTTTGGTGACGTACCAGGGCATGTTGGGCAGCACTGATCAGGCCGGCTGATAGGGTTAGTGCAGAAATCTGGTGTCAGACAACGAATCTCAGTGCACAGAGTGATTCCTTCCTGCCAAAATTCAAAATCAAAATACACTCACAGTAAGACCGGCAACCGACTACCATATTAAATACCTAACATTTACATATGAACACTAATGCAAAAGTAATGTTTACACCGAGAATGTTGCTGGAGAAAGTTTGCATGAAGTAACAGCGTAACAATATTTCCAAACCATCAAATAAATGGCAAGGGAAAGCTGACTTGGTCTGCTGGAGTCTAGCTAGAGCAAAAGACAAAGTGAAAGACCACCAACTGAGGGCTGAAGAACTCATATATCTTGAGAGAGTGTCATAGCTGGATTACCGAAAGTCTACAGTAACTAAATTGCATCCAGTAAGGTGACTTCTTTCAATTAAAAGTTAACTGCATATTTCAGGCTGTTATTAACAATGTCGGAAAAACACAAAAGCAACACTTTAGAAACACTGAAGTCCGTCTCACCTGACACTGACAGTTAAGACAAGGGTTCAAAGGTGACACCCATGATTCACCACTGCCATACTCAAAGCCCTCATACATGCAACCTGTATGCAAAAACATCAACAGCTGACCTTACCCTTCTTTACTGCAGCAAATAATTTGTGAAGTTTCTCCTTTAAGCAATATCACAGTTTTATTCTAATACAACATACCTGTTCTTGAAACTTTTACAAGAGTGCCACTTTAAGACCATTTTTACAGTCAGAGGATACCATTCCTAACCCCCATATTGGAGTTTAGAATGGCAAGATTCTATCTAAAGTAAGCAGGCATATAAACAAACAGACTGCTTGGGTGACCAGAATCAGAAGCCAATCACTTACAGTCCAACACAGAGCAAAGTATTTCAGAAGCCAGTCACGT